GAGCAGGTTATATGGTATTTTAAAGTGTCCTAATATTGTGTTGGAGTCCCCTGCAACAGGTTTAATATTAGAATCATTTTTCAATGATTTGGAAACGATTCGTTCAAAACAGAAGATTCGTGTAAACTCCTTCCTTCCAGCTGGCCAAGTCTGTGATTGGTCTTTCCATATACAATGGGTGTCGGAAACGCCCATTACCATAATTAATTTTTTGCTCCGGAGGGTTACTTGTAAACAAAGATGCTATAAGGTTACAAAAAAGGCATCGATATTACCTTATCAATTCGAGCCTGAGTCAGAGGATGATACCGATGCAGTCGCTCAACCGGAAACTCCATCGTAAGCATGACTTGATCAGGACGTTTCTCAGTGGTAAGTTTAAACTTTGTATGTGGTACTTTACATGATGTGACAGCAGTTTTATTGCATTAATTATTATTTACTTATTTGAGGTGCACGTGTGGGAACTCTGTTAAAATACCCAGTGAGGCTGAAAACACAGTGCTTCTCGTCATGATGTAAACACACTAACTAGCGGAAGTGTTTGTGGGCAGGTCAGAGTGTTCGTATTTCGCGGGCAGGCAGGGATTATGCAAATGTGTTATCTTGTGATGTATATAGGTATCAGGCAGAAGATTCGAAAATTTGACGACTCGTTAAGGCGGTTCAGATTCGACTCTTTCTTTTGAGAGACAATATCCAGGGGTGCACATAAGTGGTCCGCAGGTCCGCATGCATGACCAAAACAAGAAATGCGCTGTGTAAATTAGTTCAGAGCGTGCATTTGCGTACTGACATGGTTGACAGCTATTAATGAACAATTACCATTTTAGATTGACAAACTGTACAGTACAAGATTTCTATTCAAACTGAAAGCATAAATCTAGGCTAACGTTTTCAAAGCACAATGCAAAACTGTGACAATCGGCAGCGTTAAACCCAGAAGCGCATATACTTACTTGCCGGCAACCCGCCAAAATAAAAGCTTGCTGATTTTAAGTTTGAAAATGAAAAATTCAAATAATTCAAATTAAAAATAATAATTAAGCTTCAAATTAAAATAATAATAAAAATAATAAAAATATTTAGCATTTTATTTTTAAGTTTACTATAAAATAATTGTGTTTGTATACAATACTCCCTTTTTATTTTTAAATAAAATAGTATTATCACACTTTATTATTTAGTTTTTTTTTTTTGTTTTTTTTTTTACTAAATAAAGTGCAATAATAGTATCACTATTATTAATTTATTTTTTATAGTTATATTTGATGGGTCACACCATGTGCCGCCGTGCGAGGACCAAACCAAATCTCCAGGTTCTCATATTAGAACCAGGCTGAAAAACGTATGTGCACCCCTGACAATATATTTATTTATCATGCACTTTTTTGATTAACAACTTTGCAGACTGTTTAAATTGAAGGATTGCTACATTAGAAACGTGCAAAAAAGATATTTTTCAAAAACCCATATGACCTGCTCTTTAACCCATAATCAAAAGGAACGAACATTTCTGGTCGAAACTTCCTTCCTTCATTCCTTCATTATTTATTCATGTGACCTCGTAATCTTTAATAAATATAAATAACACCCCCCACACGCACACACTTTTCAATCACTTCTTGTCTACTCTGATGACGTTTACACTGTTGCAAAAATGGGACAATAATTTCTCCTCTCCAGCAATCTACCACTCACATGAGATCACAGCAATTAGCAAACAACAACAATCCAATCAATTACCAATGGACAAAACCAAGCCCTGCCATACATTTTTTTATCGTTCAAAAAGCCGTTTTATTCGGATATACATCACAATATGGAAGACAATCACATTCACAACTAGGCCTGTCGCAATAATCAATATATCGACTTATCGCGCAATATATGTACATGACCTCAATAATTTTCGGTGACGCAATATATCGCCCATTATATTTACTTTAAATATAATTAAATTGAATTAAAACATTTTCTTCAATATATTAAAATTAATGTCATCATGTTTTGTACATTCCACTTGCGCCTGTGTCTTTTGCAGCTTCTCGTACATAACGTGGTGTAGTCATGAGGTGCTAGTTCTAATTTAAAAAATGCTTCTTTGTGCATTTTTCTTTTTTTGTTACTTTGCACTTTTTGTTAGAAAATGTTTATTTACTATTTATTCAGGTTTTTTAAGGTATCTAATATTTTGATACTTAATTTCCATGATCTAAATATTCTTACAAATTAAAAGTTTATTGTCATTTGGAAGTGTGTAGGCCGCCTTGCATTATTATGCTGTTACATTACGATTATATATTCAGTGGCATAAAATGGTCTTTAAAATGACAATAATATCGCTTATCGCAATTATTTCTGGGGCAATATATCGCACAACAAAAAGTTGTTATCATGACAGGCCTATTCACAACATCTGACTTTAAAGCACCTCCTGCTATCCTCATTACCATAATACAGAAACGTATGCTGATTTTTTTTTTTTAAAGTGTACAGTAAAAAAAAAATTTTTTTTTAAATAATAATACAGTAATGAGAATCCAATTGCAAATTTGAGAATTTGGAAATTCAAAATGTTACAAAACGTCCAAATGCACAATGGTAATTTGAATTTAAGAGCCGGCAGTAATTACTTGTAATTAGACAATGTCAAAATGCTAAATGTTTTGAGGGTCCCAAAATTAGGCTTCATTTCCTTTAGACAAATTTCTAAATACATTATTTCTCCAGCTTTTTCAATGAAATGATACCAGAGCACGTTTTGATGAGATTTACCTGAAATTTTATCCTTATGCGACAGCATGCAGGATCTTCTACTTCCACTAACGAAGGCCTTATTTTCCATTTTAGCCCAATTCAACAGGTACATCCCCCACACTGTTTCACGCTAAACAATCCCCCACTGCTCATTAAGTGCCTCTAGTCATATTTTTAACACAACAGTCTGAGCTAGTAGATATAGCTACCCCATTTATAGCTAGTAGTCACACCACTGAGACCTGAGTCACGGTATAGGCTGACATTACTACCATCGCCCATGTCTGAGGAGGGAGGCTGAACAGTACAATTCTCCCCTAATTCGAAGGAACAGATGCTCAGCAGGGTAAACACAGCTTGATATGCACAACAATAAATTGCATCAGTCGGCTGGAGTAATAACTAGAGAAGAAAACTTCTTGATAGTTCCAAACACCCCCACCCTACAGGTTATGTCAAGTTTAAAGCATGCACAAGCACACCCACACACATGAACGCATACACAAGTGGTTGTTCGGCTGTGATATCTGCTTACTGATGTCCTCGAGAAAAATATTTACTAAATTCCCTTGAAACACGAATGGTATTTGTGCAAACACACTACAGCACTCCCACATTTAAACACATAACGAGCGTACTGTTTGCTAATCTATCAGATGACACAGTGATCTCAATGAGTTTCAATCACTCTCACTTGGTTGACAACAATCCTTCAGCCATGGGATGGATTCTCCTGGATTATGGTGGACCTGCAGGGATAGGCTTAAATGTGATCACAGCATATTTCATAAGGACTGACCTTTCTCTTCTGATTATTTTGTGGGCATACTAAACATCTCTCCTAAATTTCCACAAAATAAATCATCCTCACACCAGCAAAAGATTAGCTTGTGAACATCCCCTCTGGGCCTTAAAACAATAAGGTGGCTTTCCAGTTTCCACACAAAGAGACTTTGTGAATGTGACATGGTAAACAAACTAACCTGCTATGATTTGTCTCACAGGACTATCAGCCCTCCAAAACATCAAGATAACATTTTTGCCAGAGGGAAAAACAAGTTTAAACCTAAAAACAATAAACATAACCTGACATTTTGAGGGTCAGAAGTCCTCAAGTGGCCTTCACGAGAGTACCATGTACACAAAATATACATTATCAACGGCGAATAGCTCCTCCAAAAATGAAATAATTTTACAATAATGTTGTGTAAAACCTGTTTGACTCATTTTCTTCTGTGAAACACAAAGGATGTTTGTCAGAATGACAGCCTCACATTCACTCTCATTGTATGGGAAAACATACAATAGAAGTCAATAGTAACTGAGGCGTTCTGCTAAACGTTCATTTTTACCTGAATTACTACCTCTTTAATATTAAAAACTGTTGTAATGGGGGGGGGGGGCTTATATCGTATTTTGATATTTTAAAGCCATTTGTCACGACTAATGTCACCGTTTTATCATCTCCTCAGGCTGCTGAGGCTAACGATCACAAGACACCCGGTGACGGAGATCTTCAAACCGTCAATATCGCAAACGAATCTTAATTTAACATTCGTACTTTAACATAACACAAACCAGAAAGCCGACGTGCCTCGTGTTCTTCTCTTTCTGACACAACTGGGCAGGTTTTGTTCTCCTCACAGGACAGAGAATCGAAGCTCCTCGCGGGGAACAAATTGCAGGGTTTCCCTTTCGACGCAATAGCGCGAGGACACACCCAGAGAGGCGCGAGAGAGGCGCGGTGGACTTTACCCAAGGGGGTGACGTCAGAGGGATCGACTGATTACCTCTTTATCAATCAGCAGTCTTCATTTCTCTTCACGTGAAATGTACCCGTTTATTTCTGCCCATTAAAAGACCCTATTAGCCAGTACTGGAGAACGTGCAGACCTCAACGTAATATGACTGCACTGACAGAAATGATGAAATGGCACTAAAATACGCTAATACATACACACATAAATAAGATCAAGAACGATAAGCGTAGCGTTCACATGAAATTGAGACGTTACTGGAATACCAACAAAAAGCAATTTTCACAGTTGAACTAGTGTAATATCTGTAAACGATTAAATTGCTCACTGCAGAAAGTATTACTTGCAACCGGCAAAAACACGTCTCGTGAACAAATACGGCGCGGCTCTGAGGAACAAGATGCAACATGCAGGCGCACACCTGTGGATAGGAAAATCAAAGTGAAGGAAATGAGTAGAATAAAACAGGAAAAATAAACCTACCTTGGGTCTGAAGGGTTGTCAGAAAGAGTGAAAGCCGCACATGGGGCGTTCCTCCTCATTCAGTGCATCGAGAAACAAGCTCTGCTCCTCAAAAACAAGCCTTCTCCTCAAAACTCCCAATGAAGAAAGACGCAAAACGTCTGTAAGTAAACGCTTGCGCGGATAGGCAATGTCTTTCTTCGCGTACAACCCGTGTTTGTTTACTCTGCATCTGGAAACTAACTTTAGAATTGGTGCCAGTCAACCAGCAGGATGGAATTGGTCGCTTTTCCTACATGTAGAATGTGACCTCCGCGTTTAGGCTAAAAACGTATATAAACTTCTTATATCACGCCGCTGAGAAGTAAGAAGCCCGTCTGCTCGAACCAATCCAACAGCTTTTTCTCGTCCAGAGAAAAGAGGAAATAATCACAAGAGAGATCGAGGAATGTTCCGCTTTGGTTACGGAACGCAAACGCAACAGATCCAAGTTTTGTTTGGTTTTCAATCTTGTTTTCTACGTATTAACTGCTCTATTTGTTGCCCGCCGGGAAAAGCGCGGATAAACGCAACCTTTCACCGCGCAACGAAAAAGACAGTTTAAATCACTGGTCGCCGTGGCTGGGAATCGAAAGAGGGAAGATAAAGATTCAGTCTGAGGGCTGGGAGAGCTGCGGCGGAGAGGGAGGGACTTGTGTGGGATCAGTCATTTAAGGTGGATCATAAGGAAAATTGAAGCAAATGAATGGTCAGATATTGGAATTCCTACCACCTCGAGTTGCTAGACAGGGTAAATTATAAAGCCAGATATGTAACTATGGACGCAGTGGTGTGGAACAGGGATATTTTTACACGATTAGAAGAATATTTACAGATGGTTGGAAAAGACCCTGATTTTACTCATAAAGCCAGCGGTGTCGCTAAATAGAGCTGTTTAATTTGTAGTCCTGGAAATCAGAAGAGATTTAGCATTTTCCAGCCAGCAACTTTTATTTATTTTTATATTAGGCCTATTTAGATTTTTATAGCGGTTTTGGGTTTATGATTAAAAATAAAGTTTTGCGGTTGATGCTACTTAAAGACACTTTCTCATTTTTTTGTGGAACGTAAATTAGCGATAGCCTACTTCAAATGTGAATTTTACAGCCGTATTTATTGAAAAAAATAAGTTTGCAACAAGTTTCTACTGAAGTACTACAACTACCACAAGGATGTGTGTTTATGTGCTTGACTAGTCAGATGGCAATTGTAGTCCTTATTTAGCAACCAAAATTGGCATCACTCCAGTCCGTTAGGTGGCGGAAATGCATCTTAAGTTGGGTTGCCAATGTCCAATAAATATAAATGCAAAAGAAGAAGAACTAAAATCATATTTTGGATTTTAGTCTATTTCAACATGGTTTTGGGCATTGGAGAGACCTATTTGGCAGCTGCTCAAACTACTTGGGATTGACTGTAAACTACGTTTTTTTTTTTTTTTTTTGGTGACTAAGGGCATGATAACTGAGAATTGTAACATGATACAAGAGAAGTGTAGTCAAATAGGCCTACATAGTGGTGAACAAACAGCATTTCTATTATATCCAGACATCCAATCTCATCAGTGTTTTGAAACTAAGCTCATTCGGGCTTCCTCACTGAACCAGTAGCCCACAGGTGGCCCATTACTGTTTGGTAGCCATGGTTACCTATAATTCTGTCATTATTGCATACTCTTGAAAGGGTGACTGCACCATGTCTTTTGAGATTCATATATGTTTTTATTCCTTGGACGGTTCTGTAACTGTAGCATTTATAATGAGGCTGAGGCCTTATGAGTATCACAATTATAGTGCAATTGCCACTGTTTAGTTTACATAGAAAAGCTGTAATCCTGTTTTAAAAATAAAACCCTTTGCCTTTCTGAGATGAAAGTACTAAGAATATGTTATTACGGCTTAACAGAAGACAGAAATTGAAGCAGCAAGATAGGACAGGGAAGATACTCACCTGAATGTCACATAGATGCTTGAATATGAAATTCGGATCCATGTCAGCTAGATAGGGCACAATGCAACCAACACAGATTGAAAAGGGTGAAACTTCACACTGATATCATTACTCCAAAATTATATTCAAATAAATTTCAACCACTCAGTCCTGATGAAAACCAAGAGGTCGAAATGTTGCATTGGTGCACAGACATTTTATAAAATTAGATCCCCACGGCTGATGATATTGTTACATCAGCCGTGTAACACTGTGCAAAGTCATAATTTATTTAGATGCTAAGGAGAACTAAAACTTTATGTTGTAATCTTCTTCTCCTTGCATCTTGAGGCACCACTTAAAAGTTCACAGACCGAATAGAGTGTTGCAAAACTAATATCAGTGTTCCTTCAATGGCATAATTGTAAATAATCATCTGCTGTATTTGGTTTTCTGTTATTTGTTTGTCTACCCTTCATGTCCTTGCTCAAGGCTATTTTACATACCAGTATTTACACAGGCAGGGTGTCCCCCTTGGAAAGGAGAAACTTGACATGTATGGTGTGAAGCATAGGGAGACATCCCAAAGGACATTGTGTGCCTTATTTTTGCTCCTGTAACTCATAGATCTGATTTCAGAATGGCATATTTACATTTGATACAAGTGGTGTTGTGGCAGCAGCAGATGGCAGAAGGTTGGAGAATGCAGCCGGCAGCCAAAAATAAACCGCTGATTGTCCTCCTACCAAACACACATAGGATGGATGATGATGTATGAGGGCTACAGTACAGCCACATGCACAGATGGTCAAAGATGTTCTTTAAAGGGGTCATATGATGCGATTTCAATTTTTCCTTTCTCTTTGGAGTATTACAAGCTCTTGGTGCATAAAGGAGATCTGTAAAGTTGCAAAGACTAAAGTCTCAAATCCAAAGAGATATTCTTTATAAAAGTTAAGAGTCAGCCACGCCTACCTAAAATGGCTCGTTCTAACACTCCCTCACATGTCTACGTCACTATGTGGGAAGATTTGCATAACGCAGCCCAAATGTTCACGCAAAGAAAGAAGGCGTAGCTTTTATTCTCGCTGTAGTATTGTTGTTGCCGCCGCCATGTCGTGAAGGCGCTGTGTGTTTCGTTGTGAAAGCGAAACTACTTTGTTTGGCCTTCCAAAAGAGGACGATATCCGCTTCGTCATGCCTGGAGCTGATCCGTGCTGGTTGCTGAGGAAGTACAACAACTTTGATACACAAAATAATGTTCTTTTTAGCAACATCATATGACCCCTTTAAAGTGACAAATGCAATGCTTTCTTATGATGTATGGGCCTTCATTGCTAATGGGCTAAAAGATGATTCATTCAAACCTTATTGTTCATCTCAGTTGTGCCATAAAAATAGTCTTGCCTCTTTTAGGTCTCATGAACCAGCTCTGCAAGGTCAATTAACTAAACAATTAAGACAAACAGCCCTCACTCTGTTATAGTAATGATATTCATCTCTGTAATGGAGTCTTTTAAACAGAGCTCTCAAATAAACAGCCTGTTTTTGCTTGCGCTATTAAAGCACCCAAATGACTCAAAGACGCACCAAAGGACAAACTTGTTGATGAGAGCAGTTCAAAAAACATCTTTGTAGAGTTATAAGTATTCCAAATATGAAAATAAATGTATTGAGTTTGTGTTTTTTATGATCTGCGGAAGCTACAGGAGTCCCAAAACTGCAAAAAAAACGTCCAAGGGCAGAGTAAGTAGGCAGCCCATCCAGAGACAAGAGGAAATTTACTGTTTGCGAAGGCAAACAGTAAATGAGATGTCAGCCTGAAGCCTTAACGGCTTTTCTCAATTGTAGTTTTCCTTTGTGTGTTAAAATATTGCCTTTACATCCTCATTTGCCAAATATTAGAGAAAGAAAATGGGCTGTAACAGTGCAGGGTCATAAGTACTGATCAGGAGAACATAAAATCCAAAGCAGTTGAAATGAATACTGTATTTTCTACCGTGATGTTCTCTTGGTGCTTTTGTTTTTTTTTGCTGTAGGTTTATTGCAATGTTCAATAGTTCAATAATCTAAAATTATAATAATATTTAAATGAAGTGACTGGGCTATTTTTAAACTGCAATTCTTCATACATGTATATTGGGGTTTCAGTTTAAAACACATGTGCCAAATTATTGAATTAAGTTATTTGTAATGTACCTTTTGTATTCATGCTAAATATTTTCTGCACATCTTAAATACATGTGAATGACCACAATCTTTATTACTACAAAAAATATTTTTTAAATCTATTTTTCACAACATGACATGACATTTTACAACCAGAATTAACACTGCCTTGTCACAAGGTCAAATTTTCAAATATTTAAAGAGACTTACCTTGCCACACAGTCAGGAGGGTCTGCAGGACAGGTGTACTCTCTATGATGTAATCTGTTTATGGGTCAAAGACGAAAAAAGGTTTAAACAAAAACAATACTGCTTTAAATTGTTGTTGTTTTTCCAAAAAAAAAAAAAAAAAATGAAAAAGTTTTCTGTTTAATGTAATTGTATTTTTGTTTTTCTGAGCAAAAAATAAATGTCATACATTTTCCCCTGATTTACAGAAGACACCCACTAAAATGTCATTCAGTGTAACAATTTTGTCAGGCATATTTACAACAAAAATCAATTTATGACATATTAAAAAACGAATTACCTTCACCCCAAATACTAATTAGTTGTTATTTTTACATTTTTAAATTTGCCACTATCCTAGGTTTTGTCCATTTGTCAGTAATATTTTTTTACTCATTTAAAACCCAATACAATTTAATATGCTCACTCATTCTTTTATATATTTTAATATGCACATGTCAGAATAAGCATGTTTTTTGAATTTTGACATAACTATAATTGTTACACTGAATGACAATGGAACATTATTTCAACCAAAGTTTGAAATTTTACTCTTCAAAAACTTATTTGAAACCTTAAATGTAGACACTTTACTCGCATTTAATGTGCTTTCTATGGACATAAAATCACTTTTGTAAATTTCTTTTGATGCGGACATCTTAACGTCTTTGACCCACTATGTATGAATGTACGTATTCATTCATTATTGTTTGTGGGTTACAGCATTTTTATTTGATGGACAATTGTTTTTCAAAGATTAATAAGCTGTAAAGTCATTTTGTTAAAATATATATTTGTATTTATTTTATATAAGAAATAACAATAATAATAAATGATTATGCAAAATCCAAGAATAGAATATATTTTTTCTTTGACAGTTATTCCTGATTTTTCACTTTACATCCCCCCAAAAATGTATGTTTTAAAGTATGTTTAAATAAATTCATAGATAGGATGAAAAAAATCGAGGATCACGTCATGCACAGTGTCAGCTATAAGGATGACTGCAGAAAGAAGGCACACTGTTTATCTGTCAGTGCAAAAGCAATGTAGTTTGTTTTATTATTTATGAATTTCTCTAGAGGGAGTCTTCAGAAAACAGGGCTCTTGGGTGTTAGGGTTTTGCCTCCGATATGCACACACAGTCTGTGGCATGATTTGTCTCACTGTAGCTGGCACCCTACTGAAGAAAGCTGCCAAGAAAAACTAAAAAGCTTAGCTTTGAAAATGTTTTCTGAAACCCTTTCCTTAGATTTAAAGTTACTTGAAACCTTTCTTTATCTTTTTGCAGAACAATTCGAGCCATTTAGCTGCTCTTTCCTAATGTATCTGTGA